TCATGCAAAGTGTTCCTTAAGCATTCATGGTGTTATATAGAACCATTTTCTCAGCCTCCCTCTGTTTCCTGGGTCAACAAAGAACGTGTGGCGCTGATGCGAATATTGACTTTGAAGCTCTAAACTTCTGAAGGGGAACTCCTCCAATTTTTCAAAATTTGTTCATAGTTAGATAGTTAAGATGTAAACAGAGCCGTTCAGAGTGGTTTGGTGTGAAATGCTCCGTTCTAGAGAAACTTAGAGTCAGAATTGTTCACAGTGGTGGTGATAGGAACCAGACGTCCACCTCTAAAAGCTCCCTCACAGAAAGTTACTACATGAAATGGTTAGGAATTCACTGCCTGAGGGCTGAGACATTGTTTTATGATAGTTTTGAGAAGATTTTGGCCTCCATTCATGGTGGAGGGATACATAATATGCAGGGTGTTGTGAGGCAAAATAGTCCCTAAACAAAACTTATTATTACAGATTTTCCACTATTTTACAATGAACATTCCATATTTCATGTGTTCGGTTCTGATTTTTAATTGTGGTTTTAATAGGTCTGTTTCTCACTGTTGTTCTGATGGGCCCCTAACAGGCATCAGTTATCATTGGTTAGCCTGAACACTTCTGTCCAATCACAGGCTGGTTTCTGTTTTTTTTTTTTGTTTTTTTTGTTTTTTTTCTCTACATTGAATACTGTATATTAACTCTAAAATCTGATCCTCTGTTCATATTACTCTTACTGGTGTAGTCTAGAGGAAGATGGGTTTCCCTTTGAGTCTTAGTTCCTCTCAGGGTTTCTCCTCCTGCTCTGAGGGAGTTTTTCTCACCACCGTTGCTGTTGGCGACGCTCATTTGGGTCTTGGAGCTGGATTTTCTGTAAAGCTCTTCTTCGTGACAGCATGTTGTAAAGCAGAGCTGTATAAGTGACTCTCGATCTTGATTTTAATTTGCTCATCATCTCTGCGTTTGTGTGACTGTAGCGCCGCTGCAGCTCTGAGAGCCGTGATGGTGCAGTTTAACACTCGTCTGATGACACTTTAATTTCACTCTAAATGGCTTCCTCCCCCCTCTCTGCGTCCTTTTCCATCATCTCTGTATTTATTTCACCCTCTCTCTCTTTTTTTTTCTCGCTTTCTTTTTCTTGCTCTCTCCCTCTATGTCCCTCTCTCTCTTTCTTTCTTTCTCTCTCCCTCTATATTTCCCTCACTTTCCTTCTCTCGGTCTTTCTCACTCTTTCTTTCTGTCTCTCTCCCTCTGTCTTTCTTTCTTTCTTTCTTTTTCTTTCTTTCTTTCTCTTTCTTTCCATCTCTCCCCCTGTATATGTCTGTCTTTCCTTCTTTATTTTTCTTTCTCTGTTTCTTTCTCTCTCTCCTCTCTGTCTTTTTCATTCTTTCTTTCTTTCTTTTTCTTTCTTTCTCTCTCTCACTCCCCCTCTGTATGTGTGTTTCTCTCTCTTTTATTCATTGCAGTAATTTAGGCCATCTTAGTCTCTCCCTCTGTCGCTTTCTTTCTCTCTCTTTCCTTCTCGCTCTCTCTATCTTTCTTTCTCATTTTCTCTATCTCCCTTCTATAGGTCTCTCTTTTTCTTTCTTTCTTTCTTTTTCTTTCTTTCTGACTTCAGTTAGCCTTATTGGCATGACCATATTTAGAATTTATTTCTCACTTTCTCTTTCTCTCTCTCGCTCCCCCTCTGTATGTGTCTCTCTTTTATTCATTGCAACAATTCAGGCTGTCTTACTCTTTCCCTTTATGTCTGTCCTTCTCTCTCCCTCTCGGTCTCTCAGTCTCTCTTTCTTTCTCTCTCTCTCTCTCTCTCTCTCTCTCTCTCTCTCTCTCTCTCTCTCTCTCTCTCTCTCTTTCTCTTTCTCCCCCTCCCTCCCTTTATTCATTGCAACAGTTCAGGCTGTCTTACGCTCTCCCTCTATCTCTGTCCTTCTCTCTCTCTCTCTCTCTCTCTCTATTAATGCGGTAATTCAGGCGGTGTTACTGCAGCTCTGTAAGGCTGGGTGGAGTCAGAGCTTCTTGATTCTTCACTGATGAATCACATTAGCGTTAAAGAGCAGCTCTGAATGATTCAGTTTCTGTTTTCTTTACATCCAAATCCTTCAATTTGTTTGGCTAATTTTTTTATGAGTTGTATTTTTAAAGCACGGTCATCAAAGATGAGAACATTGTTTACTCTTACTTTGTTTTTTTTTTTTCAAAATCTTTTTTTAAGGTAGTCTGGCTGTTTTGCTGGTGTGTTTTGCTCCAGTTTGCAGGCCTCTGAATAATTAAATATCCTGATTCATATCATGAATGAAAATGTTTTCATAAATATTAATATATGAAAATATCTTTAAGCCATATTGCTCATCATTATGTTTATATACATTTTTTATTTTATGTAGATTACATTAGTGCTGGGCAGTATGGCTAAAAACCTTATCAGAACAAACATGTTTTGTCAGTATCATTCAGTATTGATTACTGATCATTTTAATACATTTTAAAGGCTTTTTTGCCACAGTCTCCTCTTGTTCTGAAACTACTAAACATTAAAATTAGTTAAAACTAGCCAGCTTTACTAACTGAAAATAGCTAATTGATAATTGAAAAAAAACTAACCCAGCTATGTGTTAATAGCTAATGCTAGCTAACTGTGCCAAGTGCAATTCTGTTACAAACGAAAATAGCTAACCTAATTTTGCTAACAAAAAAAGAGCTAATCCTAAGTTTGCTAACTGAAAATAGTTAATGCTAGCCGACTCTGTTAATAGCTAATGCTAAGTGTGCAGAGTACAATTCTTTTAAATGAAAACAGCTAATAAGAATACCAACTCTGCTAACAGAAAATAGCAAAGGCTAGCTAACTTTGCTAACTTGAAGATAGCTAACACTAGCTACATAAAATAGCTAACAACAGCTGAATTTACATACATACATACATCATCTAAACCGCTTATCCTTCTGGGTCGCGGTGGGGTGCTGGAGCCTATCCCAGCTGTCATTGGGCGGAAGGCAGGATACACCCTGGACAGGTCGCCAGTCCATCGCAGGGCAGAACAGCTGAATTTGATAACTGAAAATAGCTGATAACTGTGCTGAATGCAACTCTTTTAACTAAATTGGCTAACAGTAACATTGCTAACTAAATATAACTATTACTCAACTCTGCTAACAGAAAATATCTAATGCTAGCTAACTTTGCAAAAAGTTAGCTAACTATAAACTGAAAACAGCTAACAATAGCCAAATCTGCTAATGTTAGTAACATATACAATAACATAGGACAATTCAAAATAACCAGCACTAGATAATTCTGCTAATTGAAAATACCCAGATAGCGAGCATATATCGGTCCACTAGCTTAATAAGGTCGGCACCCCACTGACTGTTTGCCACTGCTGGTCCACCCTCGGACCACCCAGATTACTGTCCTACAAACAAGCTCTAATTAGTTTTTAATCTTCTCAAACAGATTTTAAATGCACACAGACTTTTATTTTAGAAAATAAACTTATAATGTTTGTCTAAACAACTAAGAGAAAAAAAAAATAATAACCAGACCTGATAAATGATTTTATAGAAAATGTTGTTGCTGAAACTGTGCTAGATTAAAATTATTTACTAAACTAATTTACAAAGTATACCTAAAGAAACGAAAGAAGGAAAAATAAGTAAACTGGACTGTAACTGGAAAATGAGTGATGATAAATGGAATTTTGTCTATGACTCTGCGTAACCACTGGTGGGCTGCCTGGAAAACACTGAGCAAAACGCCAGTGGACCGCCAGCTTTGCCATCATTGGGCCGACAGTGGTCCACTATCAGGGTAGCCAAGTCTAGCTAACTCTGATAATTGAAAATAGCTAACGCTAGCTGCCTCTGCTAGCTAACTGTGCTGTGTTAAATGAAAATAGCTAACTTTGCTAATAAAAAGAGCTAACACCAGAGAACTTGTAGAAAGGATAATTATCACTCTGCAATGTCTTCCGGTTTTCTCAAACGCTAGAGGGCGCTCCCCAGCGAGTCCAAAATGAATGGGTTGATATGGAGCATTTGAGCAAAATCATAGTTTATGAATGCTTAAACATTTTTAATGTAAAAGAATGCAGTCATTTCATGAACACTGAATTGCATAAAACATTTTAACACCGCTGTTATATTTTTAAGAGCGTTTAAACTCGAGCTATAGGAGTTTAAAACTGCGCCCCATGTCCATGACGTCAGTGAACGCGAACAGCCAATGAGCTGCTCCGCTCACCGATCAGCCATCACGCTCTAGCAGTAATGCCTGCCTTCTGCTGCCCAAAACCCGTTTGCTGTAGAAAAAAGGAAATCTATAGGTAAGTTTTCTTTGTTTTTTTTTTTAGTGAAATACATCCTTCTACTTTCTAAAATTAAAGAAACGTTCTGGGTAAGTGATTAGAAACTATTTCAACTTTTCGTTTTTAGCCATTTTTAGCTCCATTTACTCCAGTTCATTGAGGACTCACTCGCGGGCGCCCTCCGCTGTTTAGCAGTCCTGTTCTTGATATAACGGGAGGAATAGGGAGTGGCCAGGCTCCTCAGCTTTGCTAACAATAGCAAATGCTAGCTAACTTTGCTGACATGACATAACTCTGCTAATATATAGTAGCTGAATTTGATAACTGAAAATAGCTGATGTTAACTCTGCTAACTAAAGATAGCTAACAGTGGCTAAATCTGCTAAAAGAGCTAACAGTAGCTAAACTTGTTAACTGAAAATAATCAGCGCTGCTAATTGAAAACAGACACTGCTAGTTAACGGTGCTAGCTAAATTAGCTGCGTTGCTCCTTTCTCTCCACTCTCAGTGATGGTGATGGGCTCTGCAGGTGCAGCAGGAGTCTGGATGTGGTGGTGAGGATGTTCTACAGCCTGCAGAGGAACATACTGAGCTGTTAGTGCCGCTGATTAGACTCACGACGGTGCGCCTCATCCAGCTGTGCCCTGAACACCTGTGCACACCTCCTCTAAATCCTCCTTATTTTTCTTTTCTCCCTTTCAGAACGGACAGAGCACAGCCGAGGACGGAGTCGCTCCGGGAGTCAAGGTAAGAGGAAATGAAAACATGGGCATGCTGTTTCATCCCTGCTCGTTATCCGTCCTTTTCCAGCAGTGCTGTAGCGTGCTGGACTTCTTGATCTTTCCTGTGTGTAACAAATATAGTTCTAGTGAAAAAATGGCATTGAACCAGTATTTGCTCATCTCATTTACAAAAATGGTTCCACTGAAAGGTTCTCCAGGAGCCAGAAATGGCATTGTTTAATAACCCTGTGTACCAAATGTATTATTAAGAGTGTAGACACACTGTTAGTCAACTGGACAGCTTATGGACATGAACAGCTCACTCAAGTGTTCGAGTTTGAAGCCAACACAACCTTATCTCAGTTTCAGTTTGTCAGCTGATGATGAACAGAGAAAAGAATCAAGAGTCATGATTAAAAAAAAAAATTTATATTTGGGTTGTTCTACAGAAATTTTGTATTCCTAGTGTTTACAGATATACTACACTTGAAAACGTTAAAATAAAACAATAAGTTATTTTAACAATTACACCTTATTGCGCCATCAATTTAGCAATATAGGTTTTTAAATCAATTATATAGAGTTCCAGGCACCACGGAAGTGCTTGTCCTTAGTCATATGTAAAGGTTGAGGCCATATTTTGAAGAAGAAAACACATTTTTTGAACTACAATAATCTATGCATGAGTATGGAATGTAGAAATTTATTGACATAAAGAAAACAAATGCTAAACAAATATTATAAAATATAGAATGAAAGTTGTGGTCCCCAGAAGTCGTGTCACTGGTGTTACTGCGTAACAAACATCTCTTATTTTGAAATAAAAATCACACTGATGACATCACGACTTCTTTTTACCTATTTTCTGAGGATCTATGAAGAAAAACACATGGTAAGTCCACTGTGTCTTTTCAGTTATCAGAATTTTTCTCATTTAGCTCATGATTTCATATGAAGCTTTTAGTTGGTGTCACTGGCGTGACCGACTTTATTCTTAGGTAATTGTGAAAAAATAGAATTCAAATGGATTAAATTACATATTTTAGTGGAGATTCCATGATTGACAACATGTGGTTTGATGCTCTGTAGCAGCCATTTTGTAAAATGCCTTTTTCATTAAAAATGTCACTGGTGTTACCTTTATTATGTGTAACACCAGTGAGGATTGGTAACACCAGTGACGCCTATGGATAGATAGAAAAGTGGACGTTTCTGTAGACTGACCCATTTTTGCTATTTTGCCTACCCCTATCACCCCTACGACAGACTTGTGAGACAGCACAGGCAGCAAGGCAGTGAGACAGCCACCTTGAGTTTCGGACACAGCCCTAAACTGCTGATTGGCTGTCTAAATTGCATTCCGTATGCATATTAATAAGCTTTTCTTGTTTTTAGTCTATAGTCTGTTGCGGTCAGTAAATGTACTCACTTTCAGCACCTCACACTCACTTTTGGTTTAGGCCAAATCCCACTTCAGTATCATTTGGGAATTGGTATCCATGTCAGGGTGTCAGTGTCTGTTATTGGTTTGGTGCAGTTTTTCTCATCCCTCTTTAAAGTGAATCTAAGGTTTGACCGCCTGGATCAACCCCACACCTGAATGACCACAACAAACAAAATATCAGCTGTACAAAAAAAGCCTGTGTGCCTTGTTTTTGAATACTGGAGTGGAGGGAAAATGATTAAAAGGTTTGTTGACTATTTCTGTTTGCCTTTTTTTTAAGCAGAGCTTGAGATGTGTTGTATGTCCGCACAGTAATGTAGTTAGGAAGCTAATGTGATCCCTTCACCTTAAATTAATTGAGTCCCACAGGCTGTAGTAGTGAGCTAATGAGCGCTCACTCTGCTCTGAGCACATCTGCACAGACGGTTCACTGGCTGCCAGTGATTGAAAGCTAGTGGGGAGCTGTTAGCGCATGTCATTTCATAAATGCTAGCTGGTCCCTTTTGTTTATTTTTAGCAATGTTAGCTGTCAGTATTTTAGTCTGAAGGGTCAGTCATGGTGCTTTCCTTCCTCTTTTCACTTCAGGTTTGTGCGTTCAGCTTGCAGTGGCATGATAAGCAGTACCGCATTTGTGAAGCATGTATTGTTGCACTTCAGTACAGCCTTTGGCTTCATAAATCGCAAACTCATTTTGGAAAAGGAGCTCAGCTGTTATGGCTCATCCCCATCTGCTGTCACTGAGATGTAGAGTTATTTGTCTGGACACAGAAGGCTTTTTTGATGGCAGCTTTTCTGAGCGAGGATATATGTAGGGTGCCTCAGGGCTTTGTTGTAGGACACTTTGCGTATTCTGTTTTTATTACCAAAGTAAAAAAAAATGTTTTTTGAAGGCATGATTTGTAAGTTATGTTGGGCTGGGAGACTGAAAGTGTTTTGATTGTTGCTAAAACAGAACATTCCTTTTTATGTGACGCAAGACAAGGCAAGTTTATTTATATAGCACATTTCATACACAAGAGCAAGTGTGAAGTGCTTTACATAAATAAAAGCAAAATAAAACCAAGCATCCATGAACATCACATGAGGTGTTTGAGTGTAATTAAAATTTTAAATCAAAAGCTTAATTAAAAGTAAAAAAGTAATTAATGCAAGATTTACGTCAGTAATGTTATTATAGTATGTTATTAATCTCGTACCCTAAATCAGGAAATAATAAGGCATTAATCAACCCACTGGAGTAAGGTAATTCAATATTTAAGGTAAATATTATGAAACTCATTATAGTTTTAAAATATTAATTAGTCTTGATTTTTATGTAATTTTTTATTTTGGTTTTTGATTTCAGCTAATTTGTTAGTCTTAAGTCTTTAGCACCAAAAAGGGTTCTTCTGTTATGTATAAGCTTAAAAACAATTGCAGAACTCTTTTTTGGTGCTACTTTGAGTGTTCATGGTTCTGTATAGAACTATTGTCTTTACTAAAGAACCCTTGAAGAACCATTTTTTTAAGAGTCTATGTGTATATGTTTTCAAGTTGAGTATGTTTTGTTTGTGACACAGAACATGGCTCTTGCTAAATGAATAAAATATTTAAAAAGTGAAATTGTATAAATATCAGGACTCCAAGCTGGTTACTCAGTATCGGCGATATGTAAGTATCAGGTATCGGTACTGGAAGGGAAAAAGTGGTATCGGTGCATCCCTTGTCCACAGCTACGTCTGTGAATTAGTACTCTTTTGAATGACTGGTTCATTTTTTCACACTTTTTTTAAATTCTATTGTTTACATTGTTGAGAGAAAAGCTGTTGTGCAACTCTGACTGAAGGAGATCCGAAAATCCAAATGTAAAAGAGAGCTGTAAGCAGTTAGGCGGTGTGTGGGCGGCCTGAAGGCAGACTGAGACAGAAAGCTTTGCGGCGGATGTGAACTGTATTGACAGCTATCAGAAGTGATCGAGTGGCTGGATGTTAAATTTTAAGCTGGACATGCTGTCCTCGGTTCTCCTCCACTCAGCTCTGAGCGGGTCAGGAACCCGAGGAGCACATCTGCCTGTGTTTTCAAAACAAGTGCAGCTTGACCTTTACAACTGTGTTTTTCTGGATGGTGGACAAAATCTCTCTCTCTCTCTCTCTCTCTCTCTCTCTCTCTCTCTCTCTCTCTCTCTCTCTGTTTCCCACAGTAATGCTGTTTGGCACCCCTAACACGGTTATTTTGTTTCACTAAAGCAGCTACACAGCCTGCAGTTTCAGTCACCATAGCTCTCTCAGGCAACGAAAATGTGATGACTGGTAAAATAATTATTTGATGGCGAGTTATAAGATTCGTTGGGTGACTGGAGCTACTCGATTATGTATTGTTGTCACATCAGAAAACTTCTAGACGTGATACACTCAACTGTTCACAAGCGGAGAACGTGTTCAGGCGTTTAATTTGATTGTCAGCAGTCAGTATCGCCATATAAAAACTAATTCATTCATTTCATGTTTTAATGTTCAGAGTCGTACACCTGAGGAAGGAAAACATATCGGCTTGATTTGAGCCTTACAGAGTGGTAAATATGGAATACCTCTCTATCTAAGGAAAAGCTTAAGTAAAATCTCCTTTTCCACAGGGCATGATGGGATATGTATGAGCAGTGACAATTTTCACAGGATTAAAATAAACAACAATAGAATAGCAAAGCTACAAATCCACCAAAAGAGGCACAGTGCAGCTAAAAATCCACCAATAGGAGAACAACATGGCTTAAAATCCATTAATAAGGGAATTATATGGCTAAAAATCCACCAATAGGAGAGTGATATTGCTATATATCCATGAGTAGGGGAGCAATATAGCTAAAAATTCACCAATACAAAAACAGCATAGCTAAAAACCCACCAATTGGAGCACAATCTGGCTAAAAATCCACCAATAGGGGAACAGTATAGCTAAAAATCCACCAATAGGGAAGCAATATAGCTAAAAATCCACCACTACGAGAGCAGCATGGCTAAAACCCCACCAACAGAGAAGCGACATAGCTAAAAACCCACCAATAGATGAGCGATATCTATAAAAATCCACCAATATTGGAGCGATATAGCTTAAAAAAGCTACACCAATGGGGGAGCTATATGTTAAATATCCACCTTCAGGGGAATGATATAGCTAAAACTCCACCAGTTGGAAAGTGACATGGCTAAAAATCTGTCTGCAGCACACGGCAACATGAATATCACACAGTCTGATATAGAATTTGGTCGAGATGTTCTTCAGCATCATCTCACACAGTGTGATAGGAAGTAAACTATAATAGCTTTAGACAATTTAGAGTTCAGCCTTTTCTCCCTTTGATGGTGAAATCCTGTAAAGTCTTACTTCATCCCTGTAAGCTACATGCTAAATGGATTCTACATGCTAAAGACCTTCTACATGCCTCATAATCCCCCTGTTAGACGGCTGTTATCCCTGTAATGGATGCACTGTGACTCGTGACTCTCCGCATCATCTCTGTTCACTGTTCTGTCTTTTTTATGCTGTTCTGATTTTTTTCTAACACGGTCCAGTTTAAATTAAAATAATGTTATCGATGTAGTTT